GCTACAACTCCGCTGCAGAAAGCTTTCCTGTGTTCTTTGCGACATAAAAACAAACTGCTTCCAACTGAGAGGCTTAATAAAGTTTTAGACAAATCGCTGCTAAGTGTCGCCAGTGTAATGTTAACTAATGGCATTGCTATACATAACTCAAATAGAGTATAATATGTTTATTTATAATCTCTTGTTTTTCATTCATAAAAGTAACATTTTCAACTAAATGAAAACACACAAAGAAAGTTACGTTACAACTAATATTTTAATCTATTTTTTTACTAATTTCTAATTTAATCTATTCCAATTTATTATCACAGAATGTCATTGCACTGGTAACACTTATTGGCGGGAAAGTCAGTATCTAGCGCAATTCCCCGGAATGGCGTCTTTACTTGAAATGTCAATTTAAAACGGATTAGGGACACCAGCGGTCTCTAGCGGAAGATAATATTATTTCTTGGCATTATAAAATGCTACCGCAGCTTGTTTTTGAAGCGGAAAATACGTAGCAATGGAAAGCTTGTCATTTCAGAAAATAAACTGTCGCACAACTGTTGTACGATTGTCGATTGTTTCGGAGCCACCTCCATAAGCTCATAGGAATTAAAGCGCGAATAAAACAAATATGAGATATTTTAGTCAACTGGTGCGCGTACTTTTAATTTGCAGTTATTTATATTCCCTAATAGGTAGTTAATCTAATGCTAAGCGCCTAGTCTTCTTTATTTTCACTACAATAATACAAGATCATTTAAATGTTACTCTAAAAATGTAACACAAAATTAAATCCATTGTAAGTACATCCTCGTCTTTTATCGTAGAACCAAAACAATAATTTGACTCGAGTCTAAAGCTCATTATCCGCAACGACTTCCGCTCTCTAAGACAGCAATGTTTCCGGCGCCGCGCACTCGATGTCTGTTCGTCATCCGGAGCGGACGTGTCGAAAGACTCTCCAGTCTAATTGATGCTTTCGAATTCCTTGGGAAATTGTTAAGAAAATTGCGGATATATTTCAATAAAGAGCTTTGTGAAATATTCTTTTACGTCGTATATATCTATATTTTTAATTCGTGTGTTTATGTGCTTGTATGTACGTTTGTACTGCAGCCGAATTGCTTGATAGAATTGATTTTGAGATATCGTCTGTTGATTGTTACTTCTAGAAAATAATGGATTTTATGTATTCCGAAATTGAATAATATTTGTTATCTATACTATTATAATAAAGCGTAAACACACACTTCTTTGTTGCCTAAGATGTCAGCAATTACAGCATATTTTTGAATTTTTTCTTCGCTTTAGGCTATGAACTTTAACGCCATTAAACTTAGGGGGTAAATATTTTGGGTAAAAACCCTGATGTGGGAAAGAGACCATAAGTTGCTGCCAACATCAAGGAAGCAAGGTTGTCATGTTATTTTGACATTTGCAATTGATAATTTTCATAATTTCATGCGGATGAAGTCTCACAGAAACAGCTAGTTTTATATAAATAAAGCCTTAAGTGTTATTAGGATTTTACTGTTCGGTTTTATTGTGGCATTTAATGGTAATTACCCTCCTGCGGTGTTGTAACGTAAAACCATTTTACGATTCTTTCACTTTATGTACTGAACATTTATTGACTAATTGTTTACGGCGTCTTCGTCTGCGAATAATAGATTTTGTTAGAAATTGTGATAAAACGATGGTTACTAACAAATATCATGAGATGATGATTGGAATTTACGAGTTTTCTAATAAATACACAGCTATATTAAAATTGTAGTGTCTGTGATATCAGAAAAATTCCAGATTTCGGGAAGATGATGTATTTTCATCGATGACTTCTTTTTGTCTGTCTGTACGCAAGCCGCGTTTGTTCCGGGTAATCTTCGAAACGGCTGAACCGATTGCTACTTTGTTACGTGGACGAAGTCGCTGGCAACAGTTAGTTTCAAATAAAAACTACAAATCGTTTACTTTTTTTAGTTACACAGTAATTATTTTTTCGGGCTAAATAAATCTATAATTAACTTCCTTATAATTTTTTTTTCAATAATCATTGCCAGTACGGTGACCTAAAAGCAATTAATATCAATAACGCCATGTAATTAACAGTCCGCCATTACCCGCCGACAAGATGGCGTCGCTTCCGTGCACAGATAATTACTTAAATTAATTATAATACGAGCCAGTGATAGTCGGGAAATGTGTCAGTCGAATTACCATGTATTTAACGAACAAAATCAATATTTGAACTTTAGACGCGTGCTCAGAACTATCGCATAACTGTTTAGTCACACTTTGATTCCTTTTAATGGCATAGGAGGCACAATACTCGATTTTTAGTTGTGCAACTAAATAGTTGAACTGCGAAACAATCGACAATCGCACAACAGTTGTGCGATACTTTAGTCAAAGGTGAGCGCCCGGTCTTAGGAACCATATATTTTAATTTGGTTCCTAACAGCGGGCTTACTTTACATTTATCGGAGTAAAACTAGGTTTTGCTATATTTTATAAAAATAAAAAGTGGTACAGTCAAAGAATTAAATTTACTTCCCATCTAGTCTCGAATTGATATGCGATAGCACATATGTACATATGTTACTGTGGCAAGTTTTCGACTTGTTAGCTCCAAATGAAATTTCACCAAATGTATATGAAATAAACGTCCTCGATAGTCCATTTCCTTATATATCTAGAAGAAACTTTCTTTCCAAGGCATTTTCGAGTGAAAAATCAGCCAGTATTCCAGTTTTTCGTAAAAGAATTCTGAAACGCCTCATTGTTCTATGCAGTCTGTGCTCTAGTATTGAAGTGATATCGATGACGCCATTAGACGGCATTGTACGGCCGCCATCTTGACGGAAAGCGCGGGAAAGTATTACAAATGGCGGACATAGTCTTAGTACTTCTGAAACTATGAAATGGTTCTTTTAAGGTATTTTTTATAACACCGAAGTCATCGATGCTTATGGATACGCAAAACCAAAACTGCAGATGCCTTGCCTTTGAGATACGCCTCTTGAAGGACTCTAAGTACGCGCACCTTGGACTATATAATATCACAACTTTTTAGTCTCGCTTTGATTCCTATGAGCTTATGGAGGTGAACCCTCCTCGATTTTTAGTTATGCAACTAAACAGTTGAAGACTGCGAAACAATCGACAATCACACAACCCACTTTAAGTAGTGGTTTGGACATGGAAGTCTAGTATACTATAAAAGAGTACGAGAACTTTTCTAGACGTATCACTGATCAAATTTATATATAGCTGTTGCTGGCAACTTCGTCCGCGTGAAAATAAAAATTAAAGCCTATGTTACGCACAGATAAATTATCTTTCTAACGGTGAAAGAATTTTTAGAAACGGCCTTGTAGTTTTTGAGTTATTTGAATACATAAAAAATATATGCCAGGGCTGTCAACATACACTTAACTTTAGAATTTGCTTTTGTAATTCACCTGTAAAGTCTATAACTATACTCACAATGTTATCGTTGGTTTTCACTGACACAACTAGAGTTAAGTTACACGTTAGCAGTTTAAACTCACGGTTAACTTCCGCGTCCTTCAGCTATAAGATCGATAGGCCAATGCGGCGCCCCTCTACAACTTGTTAAATATTAATTACAAAGTCCGACATTGTAATGCCGTTTATTGGACAAATACTACACCCAAAAAGGTTTCTTAAATGGATACGGTATTAATCGTGTACTAATAATTAATAGATAAAATGTTTGTGTCTCTGTAAAAAGGTTATCTAAAAATAGTTTGAAAAGTTCAGATTTTATCCAAATGTTACAAAAGTAAATAACAATATTAAAAACCACCTGTAACCAGGTACCATCCTCACAATCTCGATGGCTGGCATTCCACAACAGTGCGGTTTTCGCGGAACTTTCTGCCCCGCACAGCCGCGTTGTGGAACGGTCTGTCCTCGGCGGTATTTCCAAACCAATACGACTTAGGGTCCTTCAAGAAGCGAGTCTATCATTTCCTCACAGGCCGGCAACGCATCTGTGGTTCCTCTGGTGGTGCGGATGTCCATGGGCGTCGTTGACCACCTAGGTGTACACGCCGCTCGTTTGCCCCCTTTTACTATAAAAAAAAAACTATATTACGAAATTTAAAACATTACGTGTTAACTGACTGTCATATGTAGATGTAGATAATAAAGAAAATAATATTAAATACATCATTCTACCTATTTAAATATAAACGTTTAATTTCGCGATATTACCGCATCCAATAAATGCAAAATTTTCCCACATCCATGGAACAGAGTCGGCGCCCAATTTGTGAAGCGGTATTAATTATTCAAGTGAAACGGATAGCGAACAATTTTGGACAGCCCTAGTTATACGTTAGTTTAGTATGGATGTGACTTCGATATGCGTTTCTTACAATAGACTTCCATTTCCATGACACTTGTATACCTGTCTCTTTAATGTCAAAGAAAACAGAAGAAAAAAAGAATACTATAAAAAATATAGAGTACTAGAAGCAGAAATGCATTTGTAACCGTGAATTTTACTTGATACGAACGTAAAAATCGGTCTAAAATTACGATTTCAACGGAGAGTCTATACTAATGTTTCGTATGAACACCCAAGCGGTACTCATTGCAATTTAATAACAGCGATATCGCGTGCGAAACTGTACTATTAGGAGCAACGGACTTTGGATTTATGTCCAATCCACAAGCCCCTGCTACCCTGGTACACAAAAATATAAACCACAATTAACTGCAGTCAATTATCGCTAAGGGAAGTGTAGACGTATCACATATTACTAAAAAAAATGAATGCGGTAAAAGAACTTTTTGTCAACAAAATAGCAATTACATTTGATTATCTTCCAAAAGAACTTTTGCTATTAAATTTTGACAGGAGTCTATTTAAATGAATTTCAACTGTTTTATAGTTTCAATCTTAAATCAAAAGGATCCTACCCAAACACCTAAGAAGATGGAATGATGAACAATTTCACGAATTATAATTGCTTACCTTTCAGGGACTTGAGCAGGAATGAACTAACAGCGATCAGCCGAAGAACCTTCCGAGGTCTGACGTCACTCAAGAGTCTACATCTAGACGGAAACCACCTCAAGTGTATTGACGATAAAGCGTTGGAGCATATGAAGAGTTTGGAAGTGCTGTAAGTTGTATTGAAAATTTGAGTGACACTTTATCCAACTGTCTCAGAATTTTTGGTAATTCCACTATTACCTTTCTCGTAAACGACTGAACAGATGACTAAGATGTCATTTGATTTGTATTCTTATCCTGAGGTATTAAAGACTAGCTGTCCCCGTGCGGCTTCATCCGCATGAAATTATGAAAATTTTATTTCATTGTTTACATTTGTCTAATTATCGATAACAAATGTCAAAATGACATGACATGAAAAACCTTAGCAACCTTTCTTTCCTGATGTTGGCAGAAACTTACGGTCTCTTTCCCACATTAGGGTTTTTATCCAAAATATTTACCCCCTAAATTTAATGGCGTGAAAATATATAGCCTAAAGCATGACGTAAATGTAGGGCTTTTTATTAAGAAAAGATTAATTCAAAAATATGCTGTAATTGCTGACATCTTAGGCAACAAAGAACTGTGTGTTTACGCTTTGTTATAATAGAATAGATAAGCGTGCCAATTCTGGCGGGAATTGATATTGCAAGTATCGAAGAATTATGTTGTTACGATGGTATTATCTAAAACTAGCATTGAGGAGATATTAGAACATTCGTACAGACATTCAAAAGCTGCGTCCTACGTTATTGTTTTGCGATTTTCCGTACACCATATTCAAAATCAAACACAAACTTTTAAGATGGGACACCACAAGGTTTTTCCGACTGTATTTAATTGGTTCTTTTACATTCTTTCCAGTACACTAAACAACAACAATTTGACATATCTGTCACTGGAACCAGCGTCGGTCGCGCGACTTCACACGCTGCGTTTGACCGACAATCCAGTCGTGTGCGACTGTCGCGTCGCAAGACTGCTGGTCGCATTACGAGCGTCGGCATTCGTCGGTGTTGGAGCCAGGTATGTGGTAGGGAAAGGTGGCTAGGTCTTATCTGTTCTACGTATTGATTTAAGACAACTGAGGCTGTCCTAAATTAGTGAATAGGTTTCAGTCAAAACTCCACTGCCCTAAGTGAACATAGTAGAACCTCGATAAGTTTAAGTCCAATGAAAACACAAAATACTTTAAGTTATAGAGGTTTTAAGTTATCAAGGGTCTATGTTGTAGAGGTTTTGCGCTCTGATGGGAAGGGAACATATTATTTTTTTAAAGTTAAAGAGGTTACCGATGTTCTACTTATGGGCGTGACAACCATGTTATCCTTCAATAAATTATAGTTTTCTTTACCTCTTATGTTTTCTTCCAATTTGCACAGAATAACCTTACCAATATGGCCGTCGTGTCGTCGAGCTAATGCAACATATTTTGACATTATAAAATCATGACATAAATATTTAAATAATGTGTTGGATCACAATTACAAAGTTATAGCGTTATTTCAAATTATGACAAATGGTATTGTGCCCGCTTTAACATCTTAGCACTACAGGGCCGGCACGCCCGGTGTAATACCACAACCACACAGAAGACAGGCGTCAAATGGAAGCAATTCCGTGTTTCGTCTGATGAGTGTGGTGCCGGAGGCCTAATTTAAGTCCCTTTCTCTTTACCACCCTTTTCTTATAGGAAGATGGGAAGGGGAAGTGGATTTGACGGTGGAGGAGATGCATAGGAAGGGAAAGTATCCTCTTAATGTGCGTCTTCTCCTCCGTCGTATAAGGGTAGGCAACGCATCTGCAATTGCGGATGTCTATGGGCAGCGGTCGCTTCGCCATTTTGGCGGATTCAGGTGGCCGCTTGCTCGTTTGCCACCTTATGTTATATAAAAAAAAATTATAGCACAGACTAAATAACCTTCAAGAATACAGAATACATCAAAATAGTTAAAAAGCTACCATACTGTATATGGTAGGTTGTTCGAATTTCCATTTAGAGCGCAAACCTTTGACTAATTATTATTTTTTTATTTATTGGGGTAAAAGAACAATAGGACAAGAAAAAAAAATATACAGTACAATTTAAAAGTGTTGAGTAGATGTGCCATCCACAACTTTACCACGTAGTAACTATAATAATAAAATAAATCTATATATAGGCTATACATTCGAGTGGTACTTAATGATATATTAATATTATTAATAATTCAAAGTTTTAATAATCTCTATTTTAAGGTTATTTTAAGTAACATGTATATCATTAAAATTAGTATTATAAGAATTGAAAATTCGGTTAATTGGTGACCGCAAGCCCGCATTAGTTCGAGACCAGTTTGTTGAAAAAAGTTTTGAAACATTTCTGGGATGAGCTCTTGTGGGGACTCTGTACGATATTCTTCTGTTTAAACAGATGCAGTCGTACCTATTATGGCACAGATCGTGGAGTAGCAAGTATGAAAATAAATAAATAAATGAATAAACAATCGATTGTTTCGCGTTTTTTTGCACAATTAAAAATCGAGTGTTCACCTCCATATGAGCTCTTAGGAATCATCAAGAAATTTACTTCTAGATGCCAAGCTCCAGCCACTCTCAGAGGGGCTCTGCTCACTGATTTAGAAGACAGCGATCTCATATGCAATGGTAAGACATACAGCCTTACAAATAAACGCGGTATAAAGTTTAACTTAGGAATAAACTGAGTGAGAAATTTGTACTAATATTTACTTATACTCAGTTTATTCGTAAGAGCGTCGGTGGCTCAGTGGTTTGAACACTTGACTTGTAATCTACAGGTCTTGGGTTCGAATCCTGTACCAATGTGATTTTAGATTTTTCGAATTTTCATATGTACATAATTTACCCGACGTTCTTACGGTGAAGGAAAACATCGTGATGCACATATCGGCAAAGAAATTCAAAGATATGTGTGAAGTCAACCCGCAGTGCAGGTTGACTATGGCCTAGTCACTAACTTAGGGTAGGCTCCGAGCCCCTCGGTGGGGACGTATAGTGAGCTGGTGATGTCGATGACTCAGTTTATTCCTAAGTTAAACTTTATACCGCATTTATTTGTGATGTAAGATGAACCGTATTTTTATCTATATTTCTATAATTTGTATGTATACTAATATAATAAAGAGCAAAGTTTTTTGTATGTATTGAAATAACTCAAAAACTACTGGGATATTCAATAATTCTTTCATCAACAAAAAGCTATGTTATCGCTGAGTAACATAGGCTATATTATTTTTAATTTAACGTGGACGAAGTCGCGAGAAACTACTATACTTAATATTATAAAGAGGGAAGATTTGTATTTTGTATATTGTATATCGTAAAAGATTTAAAAATAAAACTATTTTTAACGGAGACATGTGTATTGATAAAATATGTACAGAAAAAGACTAGAAAAAAATGATGACGTCGACAATGTGTTCTAATTTTAAATAATTTAAATTCTTTTTCTTTTCTAATGGCTTGACTCTAAAAACGTTTAAAAACTCCTTGAACATATATGTTAATAAATATGTCAAAAACTACTGGGCCGATTTCAAAAATTCTTTCACCGTCAGAAAGGTAATTTATCGCTGAGTAACATAGGCTATATTTTTGACCCAGACAAAGTCGCGAGCAAGAGCTAGTTTTCTTTATATAGATAACGTTTTCAGGACCAATAGCAGTGACATCCAGCGAGTGTTCGGCGGAACCTCGTTGCCCGCCTCCTTGCCGCTGCACGGCGGAGGGCACTCTCGACTGTCGGGAGAAATTGCTTGCGGAATTGCCCGCCTCTATACCGCATCGCACTGTTGAAATGTGAGATAACCCATTATTTCTTACTAATATTATAAAGGTGAAATGTATGGATGTTTGTAAGAGTTAACCTGAACTGCTGAACGGATCCCTATTGTCATACATGTAGGGGATAGTCTGGAACACATAGGATACTTGCATTTTTTTAATACAAGGCGAACGGAGTCGCGGGCGAAAGCTAGTTTAATTGTAATCTATCTTACTGATATTATAAATGCGAACGTTTAGATGGATGGATGTTTGTTTACAGTTTGTAGCCTAAACTATAAAACGGATTTCGATAAAATTTGGTACAGACGTAGAGAATAGTGTGGAAGAACACATAGGCTTCTCGATTTTGATTCATCTATTTCCACGCGGACGAAGTCGCGGGTGAAGGCGGCGGGAAATATTTGTATTTTTGGATTCTTATATGTATTGAAATAACTCAAAAACTACTGGGATATTCAAAAATTCTTTCATCATTAAAAAGATATGTTATCGCTGAGTAACACGGGCTACTTTTTTATTTTATTTTTTTTTTTAATTTCACGCAGTCGAAGTTGCATTTGATATTTTCCAGTTAAGACATTGTGATTTTAGGGACGCACACAAACGTAGCTATTAAGTTACTATACAAATTCTGTAAGTTAAACCCAGGATAACTTAATTCTTTACTTCCAGTCGTCTAGAACAGAACGAGATAACAGAAGTGGGCGCGGGCGCGTTCGTCGCCATCAAAGTGGTTGCTAGAATCGACCTTTCAAACAATAAGATTGTCAAAATAGCAGCTGACGCCTTCAATGGACTTACCAGACTTACCTCTTTGTAAGTATAAAAACTGTCAACATTGACTAGACTATCGCATTGCCCTTGTGTCTAGTCACTTGATGGAGCGATCTAAGAGCTCGATGACCTTCCAATCCGGTAATAACTAAGTAACGGCTCGTGCCGAGGCTCCTGAGGGAGCCTAGTTACTCATAAACGAGGTTTACGCTAAGCGCCATGCGCTGTCTCCTCAAGCCTGGTGAATATGTAAATGCCTCAAGGCAAACAGTAACCATTCAGTCACAAAAAACTAAACAATCGCATAACTGTTTTCGCTTTATATAACTTTAAACTGTCGTGGTTTTTACAAATATAGGTAAGATAGGGTTTCTTACCACGATTGGATTGTTTTAGTTCCCGATATTTCGGCACAGTTGCATGAGCCATGTTCACGGGCTGACTGAAGTGTGCGGTAGTGTGAAAAAAAAAGTTACATTAAGCCATATCGGTCTACTTTTCTCCTGATACGGCCACTACTATTATTGTCCTCATTTTCACTAAACGAGCTAAAAAAATTCAATCGTGAGAAACCCGTATCTTACGAATATTGTATTTGTTTTCGCTTTGATTCCTATGAATGTGTACATTAGAGGAAGTTTGAAAGTAGCGCCAGTGGTGGAGAAATTGAGAAGCAAAAGGTTAGCGTGGTATGGACATGTTATGCGACGAGACGATGGAACATAAACCAGAAAGTGTTAAGAATGAATGTGGGCTACAAAGGAAGAGGAAGACCGAAGAAAGTATGGATTGTGTGAAAGAGAATATGCTTAAGAAAGGAGTGTATTCAGATACGGCTGATAGAGATGTATGGAGCAGCACATACTGTGCCGACCCTCGTAAGGGATAAGGGCAAGTGGATGATGATGCTTTGATTCCTATAAACTTATGGAGGTACATTGTTAGGTAACTAAACAGTTGGCTGCGGAACAAATGACACGCACAACAATGCGATAGTATAGTCACAGGTGTGCCCAGGATTTAATTGTCTTTTTTATGTATGTCCATTACAGCATATTTTTGAATAATACTTTTTTAATAAAAGCCCTACACTTACACTTATAAAAAAGATGCTTTTTTGACCTAAAACAGATTAGTACAGTTCGTGGGACTCTCGTCTCCTGAGCTAGTAATAACTGTGTTTCAGGAGGCAGTGTCTTCTTTTAACGATCTATATATACCAATATTATAAAGAGGAAAGATTTGTATTTTTGTATATATTGAAATAACTCAAAAACTACTTGGCTACTTAAAAATTCTTGCAGCAAAAAGCTACGTTATCAGCGAGGCTATGTTTCTTATTATTTTATAATTTCTCGCGTAATTTACTGGTAACAGTAATTGGTAACCTAATTTTTATTGGAATAAAACAAAACAAACTAATATATTGTAGATTTTACAAATTAAATTGGCCACTCTGACCTTCTGATATTGTTATTTAGTAATAACCCCACAAAAACAAGGCGTGAAGTGGAAGCAATTCCGCGTTTCGTCTGATGAGTGTGGTGCCGGAGGCTTTAAGTCCCTTTCCCTTGCCACCCTTTTGTTAAGAGGAAAAGATGGGAAGGAAAAGTGGATTTGACTGTGGAGGAGACGCATAGGAAAGGGAAATGTCCTCTTTATGTGCGTCTCATCCGTCAATGAAGGGTAGGCAGCGCTGCAATTGCGGATGTTTGTGCAGCGGTCGCCTTCCATTTCGGTGGATTCAGGCCGCTTGCTCGTTTACCACCTTATATTATAATAGCTGTTCCCGTGCGGCTTCATCCGCATGAAATTATGAAAATTTTATATTTTTGTTTACATTTGTCAAATTATCAATTGCAAATGTCAAACCTTGGCAATCTTGCTTCCTTGATGTTGGCAGCAACTTATGGTCTCTTTCCCACATTAGGGTTTTTATCCAAAATTTTTACCCCCTAAGTTTAATATCGTGACGTAAGTGTAGGGTTTTTTAATAAAAGATAGTTATTTAAAAGTATGCTGTAATTGCTGACATCTTGTAACAAAGAAGTGTGTGTTTACGCTTTATTATAATAGTATAGATAAAAAAATAATAGTTATTTATTTCCAGAGTACTATATGGGAATAAAATAAAAGATTTACCAGCGGGAATATTCCACGGATTATCATCTTTGCAGCTGTTGTAAGTTTTTTAATTTACTATATTAAAAAAAAATGTTTTTTTAAAGACTGCAACGAAATAAGAACAGCATCTATGATATATGTTTAAATGGATGTTTATCTCCAAAATGGCTTAATATATTCACTTTTTAAACGACGAAGTCGTAGGTAAAGTCAGTCATCATTACCAGCTCACTATACGTCCCCACCGAGGGGCTCGGAGCCTACCCAAAGTTAGTGACTAAGCCATAGTCAACCTGCACTGCGGGTTGACTTCACACATATCTTAATTTCTTCGCCGATATGTGCATCACGATGTTTTCCTTCACCGTAACGTCGGGTAAATTATGTACATATGAAAATTCAAAAAATCTAAAATCACATTGGTACAGGATTCGAACCCAAGACCTGTAGATTACAAGTCAAGTGTTCAAACCACTGAGCCACCGACGCTCTCTGAGTCAAGTTAGTCATACTAATATTATAAATGTGAAAGTTTAAATGGATGTTTGTTAGTTTGTAGCCTAAACGTTGAACGGATTTCTATGAATTTTGGCACAGGTTCAGAGCATAGTCTGGAACAACACATAGGCTACTTGCATTTGTTTTTTTTAATTCCGCGCAGTTCGTCTGAGAGTAAAAGTAGTCAATTTATATTTGTATATGTTTTTTTGTTTACAGATTGTTGAATTCAAATGAAATTTCGTGCATACGGAAAGATACTTTTAGAGATCTTCAGAGTTTGAAACTACTGTAAGTTAGTTTATCTTACTTCTTACTATCTTACTAATATTATAAATGCGAAGTTTAGATGGATGTTTGTTAGAGTTTGTAGCCTAAACTGCTGAACGGATCTCAATGAAATTTGGCATATACGTAGAGAATAGTGTGGAAGAACACATAGGCTACTCACTTTTGTTTTTTAAATCCACGCGGACGGAGTCGCGAGCGAAAGCTAGTTAACTAAATAAAAATAACTCATTTAGAAATGTAACTTTTGATGTAATTTTAGTCTGGTTTTACTTTAATTTTAACTGGCCAGATGCTTGTTATATGTCTGATGTTTACGACAACGCGGCAGCCAAAAATACAAAACACTTTTTATCAAACTAACACATCTTTATTCAAAGACTTATTTACACAAATATATACAAAAAAAAACTCAAAACTATCTTGATCACTTGCCTTCTTAATCTTTTTCTATATATTTTCTTTATCCAACGATAAATGCCTTAGTGGTCTGTATGCAACCTCTTTTGTATACTTGCTTGTCAGCCAAAGAGGTTGTATTTTGTACTCAACACTGATTAGTCGAATTTTACTCTATTGCAATAAGTATACATTATTAAGACGCTTTAACTGCATTTTTCTATGAAAATAATTGAATTCTATGTATTTATTTCAGGTCTCTGTATGATAATAATATCCGTTCAATACCAAATGGTACATTTGATTCACTAACTGGAATACAGACTTTGTAAGTTATTTTGAATCTTTTTCCCATTTAAAATAGATAAAAAACTCAAAATCGAATTTTAAAATAAAATTTAGGAACAGCGCCATCTAGTGAACAAATAGTGAAATATTGGTAAACAATTACAGTTTTTTTAATAGTTTTTATTCATTTTCAAAATATTTGATTATAATATAAAGAGTAATTTGTAATTTTGTATATATCGAAATAACTCAAAAACTACGGAATCTATTTTAAAAATTCTTCCATTATTTAAAATCTACGTTATCAATCAATGTTACTCATTTTTTTACATTTTGCATTTTTTATTTCACGCGGGCGACGTCACGAGCTATAACAAGTATAATCATTTTTCTAAAAGAAGCTTTATTTTCCAGGCATTTAGGTCGTAATCCCTTCACCTGTGACTGCGCACTTCGTTGGCTCGCGGCTTACCTTCGTAAAAACCCGATAGAAACTTCTGGAGCGAAATGCGACTCTCCTAAACGACTCGCCCGGAAAAGAATAGACGCATTACGAGATGAAAACTTTAAATGCAAACGTAAGTTCAAGGAAATAGAGTTCATTTTTAATTACAGAGTTCGTTTTAGTTTATTTTATACTTTTAATACGAAATTTGAAATTAACGCCATCTATTATGTAAAAATGTCAACAGTACAAATTACAAATTAAATATGCATGGTTTATTTGGACTTTATTAAACGATTTTATCTCCTTGTTGTAAGATAACCGGAAAATAATGACATCAAAAATACCAACCATTGAGATAAAATTGCATAAAATCACAGTTACAGCGTATTGTTTTCAAAAATATTCTTTATTAATATAATTTTATAGTAACATATACAAAAAAATCGTCTAATTTTGCGTTCATGTTCATATTAAAACCAAAATGCCTCATAAACATTTATGTATCTTAGCTGGTGAAGAAACAGAAGGTGATCGAGGCTCGTGTGGCGCCACTGGTGCGTGTCCCGCCGCGTGCGCGTGCGAGTGGGACGCAAGAGGGGTGCGCGTGGCGTGTGTTAGAGCGGGACAGAACGATGTCCCTCGCGACCTGCCTATGGCTACACACGTATTGTAAGCAACAATATTACACAGAGTAAACAATCGCAGAACTGTGATTATTTCGAAATTCAACTGTTTAGTTGCACAACTAAAAATCGAATATCACCTCCATAAGCTCGTAGGAATCAAAGCAAGACTGAACAGTTGTGCGATAGTTTAGTCAAAATAAATTCATTTCTAAGTAAATAGTATGTAAGGGAGTTATTTTTATCTATTTTTCAGATTAATGTCAGATAATAATCTACGTCAAATCAAGTCGGATGGACTATTTGGAAGACTGCCGGATCTCAATAAGCTGGATTTCCGTAATAATGGTTAGAAAGTCTATTTTAATAAGACCTCTAAAAGTTCCTACATTGAAACCAAAAACATTTAAAAGATACATAGACGAGGCAATGAGCATTTTTTTATGGTACTTTCTCTGAAAGATATCAGTTGTCAAGTTTAGTGCCACCTCGTGTATTGTAATAAAATATTTTACAACAATTATAATAAGCTCCATCTTTTGTTAAAAAAACAAACTAAACAGAGTCAGAAAATACAATAGAAATATTTAAATATTTATGACATCTATTGGCGATTATTTTAAACACAATTAATTATATTGACATGTGTTTTAGAGGATTTATCGATAGATAGCGTTAGTAATGTGAAAAAATGTCTCAAATGAAGTGTCAACTATGCCTCCTCTGTGTATTTCTTAAATCTTTGTTTGAAATGTTTAAAGAATATTGTCGTCTCGCTCACTCATGTGTTCTCCCTACAGGTATAACAGAGATAGAAGATAACGCATTCGACGGCGCTGCCAACATGCAAGAATTGTTGCTAGATGGCAACCATCTGGCAACCGTTACTGATAAAATGTTCTTCGGCTTGCACAGTCTTGTTACATTGTAAGTTATGTACAAAATAAACCAAAGCACATACAAAAAGGAAATGTACAGTGGCGTAAATCCGCGGTATTCACTTCTGGTAAAATTGCCTTCTTCATTGCAACGAAAACGCTTACAAATAACTTATTGGATAGCAGTAAGTGCAAACGAAGGGATAATAAAAAAACCTTTGTCGTGTATCACTAATTGACATTTTTCCATGCACATTTATAAGCTGTTGTATTGATTTTTGTTTCCGCTCGTTTCAAAATGTTAAAACGATTGTATTTTTTAAAATGGAACACTGACAGTTGTCCAAACTGTACAAAGACGAAGTTGTATAACCTCAAAAAATGTTTCTTTTCCTTCAAAAATATGCCTTAAATCTTAAATAGTTGTTATTTATTTTCCAGGTCCTTAGCTGAGAATAAAATTAAATGCATCACTCCCGGAGCTTTCGATCATCTAAACTTGCTGAAAACCCTGTAAGTGGAGAAGTTGGAGTTAGTTTTATTTATGTTTATTTATTTAAATCATATAAAATTAATTACAAATTTGTCAGTGACCAAAGAGATTTAAAAAACAAATAGAGATAGCAAAGTTTACACTTCAAAACATTTTTTACAAAATTACTAACGCCATCTATTAATAAATCCTCAAAACTACATACAATTGTGTTTAAATTAATTGTCAATAGATGTCGTTAAATAATATTTAAATGTTTATATTTCAATTTGGAACACTGTTTAGTTTATTTTCTAACAAAAGTGGAGCTTATTATAATTGTTGTAAAATGTTTTATAACAAGTCAACACGAGATGACTTATCTTGAAAACTGATACCTTTCAGAGAAAGTACCAGTGAAAAAAAATTCTTCACTGCCCCGTATTTCTTAAATTGGTGGCAAATAGTTATTGTAGTCAACCAAAATATTGTGTTTTCAGGTTTTATAAATTACTAACTATCTGTTAGCAATAAATATACCCTATGTTACTCAGTGATAACGTAGCTTCTTAATGGTAAAAGAATTTTTTAAATCGGTCCAGTAGATTTTGAGTTTTTTCAATACATACAAAAATACATTTTTTTTCTCTTCATATTAGTATAGATTATCCTGTTTGTCTTTAGGACGTTGTCGGGCAACCCTATCCACTGCAGCTGTCACGTGGGCTGGCTGGCGGGCTGGCTGCGCGCGCGCCGCCTCGCCCCCGCCGCCGCCTGCGCCTCGCCCGCAGCGCTGCGTGGCGCCAACATACCGCATCTAGAACTCACTGACTTTAAATGCACGGGTAAGTGTCTGATATTCATCAACTTCTCCCTAAGAGTCGGTACAGTATCTGCAGCTCCATACCTCTCTATCATATTTGTATACACACTGATAATAAAAACACTATCTGTTATTTACTTATGGTCTATTTAGACCTATGATTAGTAAAGTGGTCCCTGATCTAGTAGTTGTATTGAAAGACGCACACTTCTTGATGCAGCGCCATCTATCAAAGTATGGATGTAGTACAGCGCCATCTATTGAACGAGGCATTACAAGTATTAATAAAGGGCCATTTTTAAAAAAACAGATTTAGTACAGTGTCATCTCTTAAAGTATGGATAAATTAAAATATTGGATGTATTACAACGCCATCTTTTAATCGAGGCACACGTCTTAGTTTATTAGCGCCATCTATTAACGGTCTTTAACATTCCTAAATACTGGTTATTCTGTACAGCGGAAGACAAAGGATGTTTATCGGCGGAGTATTGTCCAGCGGCGTGCGTGTGCGCCGGCACTGTGGTGCGCTGCGCGCGCGCACAACTCACTTCGTTACCGAATAATATACCGAGACAGACTACTGAATTGTAAGTTGATACATCCTTTTACTAGCTTTCGCTCGCGAGTTTGTTCTCGTGAAATTAAAAAAAAAGCAAGTGTGTTCTTTCAGACTATGTCTATGCCACACATTCACACATCCATTCGGCCTTATATGCCACTAACTCCAACAAATATTCATATATCCATTTAGACTTGTATTTATAATTTTAGTAAGATTTTCTGACAAAAGTCTCCTTTCCCTATTATAAGCAAAGTATGGTAAGAGGAATTGACGGAGAAGTGGACGTATAGAAAGTGTATATTGATGCTGTCACCTCTGTCGTAAAGATAGGCAAGGTGTGCAATAAATGATGTTTCGGCAACGGTTACTTCGGTATTTCAAATTCAAGTTATTCGTTTGCTTGTTCTAAAAACATTAAATTACTAGTTGTTGCTTGCGACTTCGCTCGCATGAAATTAAAATATAATATGACTATCTGACTCACAGACAAATTACCTTTTTAATGGTGGAAGAATTTTTAAAATCGGCCTATTAGTTTTAGCGTGAATCAAATACATACAAAAATACAAATCATTCCTCTTTATAATATCAGTATAGATAAATAATTCGTTCTTTTTCAGGTATTTAGAATCAAATGAAATCACAAGTTTAGAGCCTGAACAAATCCGTCATCTCACGCAGCTGACGCGTCTAGATCTCTCCAACAACAAGATAGATGTACTCCACAATAATACATTCGACGGCCTCACCAAGTTGTCTACACTAATTGTCAGCTATAACAGGCTGAGATGTGTTCAGGTAACTTAAATAGTGTAACTTACTTCTTCACTTAAGTCTGTAGCAGTTCGAAGCCCACAAATTTAGATCCCTATGCATGCTGGAAGCCTAATTGAATTCCCTTTTCCTTTCCACTCCATTAATAAGGAAAGAGTGGAAAAGGTAAGTGAATTTGATGGTAGAGACGTACAGAAAGGGGAATTATCTTCTTTATGTGTATCTCCTCCGTCAGTTAAGGCAATGTATTTATAAATGCGGATGTCTGGGCAGTCGTTTTGCCATTCGTTATTTATATGGACTTTTTGTTTTTATTTGCCAGAGGGACGCCCTCAAAGGTCTAACGCAGCTCCGCGTGCTGTCTCTGCACGGGAACAACATCTCGATGCTGGCTGACGGCGTCTTCAGAGACCTGGAGTCGATCTCTCATGTGTAAGTTATATTTATGGTTTTACACATAATTAGTGTTATATATCCAAAATGTATTATAACTTTAAATTGACAAAATCTCTATTCTTATTGAAAAAACAAACCTACAAGAAAATAAGTCAAGATTACTACAGAATATAACAATAGATGGCGCTGTAACTCACTGCTTCAACCAGTAAAACATTTATTAAATTTGTTGTTTTGTTATGTGGATAATGGTGAAATTAACAAAACAGAAACTTGTGAAAATGCACTTTTATTGTACAAAGAGAAGTTACAAGCTGGGGATATCAAATAACAGCAATGTTGCCAATTAACATATTATGGTTGTTTTCTTAATTACCGTAACAAAATTATTAGATAGATGGAGCTGTAGATAACTTTATTCTAGCACTGATAGATGGAGCTGTAGCCAATTTTATTCCAGTACCGATAGATGGCGTTGTAATTAATTTATATCTAAAGCCTTATATTCCAGTGCGCTAGGCTCCAACCCGCTGTACTGCGACTGCGCCGCGCGCTGGCTCTCCGAGTGGGTGAAGAGCGCGGGCGAGTACGTGGAGGCGGGCATCGCCAAGTGCGCGGAGCCGCCGAGAATGCGAGACAAACTAGTACTTAGTACTGCTTCTAGTGCATTTGTTTGTACAGGTAATAATCCCATTCGCTTATTTATTTTATTGTTTATTTGAATAATCACCTACAATAGCGATAGACTTGCAAGATGCATGAAAACTGCCAGAATAATAAGGTGGATTTTACTATAACAGGGTGCTAATGAACTATCATAAATGCCTTAAATCCCTTCCCACCCTCTTATAAGGAAGGGATGGCAAGTAAAAGTGAATTTGTCAGTTGAGGAGACGCATAAGGAGAAATATCTTGCTATCTGCGTGTCTGTCGAGTAATGAACAACGCATCTACAATTGCGAATTCCTTAGTAGAGGTTAATTTGTCATTTTGACATTTACCACCTTATAATATAAAAAACTAACAAACATCCAAACTTTCTCATTTATAAGTACTATTATCAGTACCAACTAAAGGTATCTTTCTGTACTTAACTAATCAGAGAAAGCACCGAGTGAGGTAATATCGAAGTGCGACCGCTGCGTGCGGTCTCCGTGCGCCAATGGCGGCACGTGCAGCGCCACGCGCGCCGGCTTCGCGTGCGCCTGCGCGCGCGGCTTCCACGGCGACACCTGCCAGCAGCGCATCGACGCCTGCTACGGCGCGCCCTGCCGCCACGGCACCTGCACCCTGCTGGAGGAGGGGAGGTTCCAGTGAGTACACTCTACTCTACTCTAGGATGGTAACAAACAAGGAGATTCAAAAAATATATGGAGGAAGTTGACACTTCACTTGACACATTTTACACACGATCACTGACGCCATCTATTAACAAATCCTCAAAAAAAGGTGTATTTATATTTCATGACAGAGGATGGAGCTTATTATAATTTTGTAAACCATTTTAAACCAAGGAAGTTTTAGTAGATGTCTATCCAAAAGGCAGGGTACCTTTTGAAGATTAACCCGGATACCAAAATAAAAATATTAGCAATAAATATTTAATATTTTCACATAGTAAAGTCTTCGACTTCAGACGTATATGCCAGAGGAGTATAGTTCTTTACACCTTTTTACCCTTTTTGAAATATTGGGAATGGAAAGTTGAGTGCTAGGGGATGGGACGCATAGGGACATACATATGACAGTGAAATACTTTTTTAACCTTTTATTTTAAAGAGCAAATCTATTATGATATTTGTTTCACACTACTAAACATTGCCCTACCTCAAATTAGCCTTGTTTTTGTAGTTGCTCGTGTTCAGCGGGTTACACGGGGGTACGTTGCGAGGTGGACATAGACGACTGCGCTGGCCACATGTGTCAGAACAACGCCACCTGCATCGACCACCTGGAGGGGTACACATGTAAATGTGCTCCAGGGTACATGGGTGAGTATCACCTATACGTCCCCACTGAGGGGGAGTCTACCCTAAGTGATTAGGACAGTCAACTGCTTCACACATATCTTTGAATTTCTTCACCGATATGTACATAATTTTTTCCTTCACGGAATGTTTAGTAATAAAAAAATTATTATAATATAAGTAAGATATGTGGGAGGAGGTTTCTAAATGTTAAGGTAGAGCCCGCTTTAACATCTTCGCACTGTAGGGCCGGCTCGCCCCAGCAATACCACGACCACACAGAAAACAGGCGTGAAGTGGACGCAATTCCGCGTACAATCTGATGAGTGTGCTGGAGGCTTAATTTAAGTCCCTTTTTCTTTCGGATTGGATTAAGGAGAGGTATGGAAAGGGGAAATATTCTCTTTATGTGCATCTTCTGCGTCGATTAAAAGTAGGCAACGCATTCGCTGTTACGGATGTCTATGGGCAGTTGCTTCGCCATTTTGGCGAATTCTAATGGCCGCTTGCTCGTTTGCCACCTTATGAAATAAAAAAATCTCGTGTCCCAGGTGAGTTTTGCGAGACGAAGATCCCGTACTGCAGCGCGGAGTTCAACCCTTGCGAGAACGGTGCTACCTGCACCGACCACGGCAGCCACTACACCTGCAGCTGCCCGCGGGGGTACGCCGGCACCAACTGCACCCTCAACCCCGACGATTGCCTCGACCACATGTGCCAGGTATCACATACTTAGGTCCCAGAACCAGCTGCCAGCTATACTAAGTTATTCTAGGGCATCGATTCGACAGTGGTAGAGCCCGCTTTATGTTCGCAATGCGGGGCTCGCCTCTTTACATACCTCGATGATAGACGTGAAGTGGAAGCAATTCCGCGTACACTGTGATGAGTGTGTTGGAGGACTAGTTTCAGTCCCTTTTTCTTATAAGAATAGGATGGGAAGAGAAGTGGATTTGATGGAGGAGAGGTATAGGTAGGCAACGCATCCGCTATTGCGAATGTCTATGGGCTGTCGCTTCGCCATTTCGGCGGATTCAGCTGGCCGCTTGCTCGTTTGAGCGGGGCGAGGTTGTGTAAAGGCAGCTGTGTGCACAGAACGGCGCGACGTGCGTGGACGGTCTGGAGGAGTACCGCTGCGCGTGCGGCGCGGGCTACGCCGGCCGCTACTGCGAGGCGGCGCCGCACGCCGCGCTCGGCACCTCGCCCTGCGCGCACCACGACTGCCTGCACGGCGTCTGCTACCTGCCGCCACCTGCGGCCCTACAGGTATGTGCACTCCATTTGAGCTTTTATTTAAACAGATTTATACAAGGAAAACGTCTTAGAATAGATTTATTGAACTTTTAGTATAAGAAAAGGGTGGGGAATATTGGTTTTTAAGGTGAAGGACGTAGAGGCACAAACGGTATATGCATCTCCTTCGCTGATTATGGGTGATCGCTTCGCTAATCCAGCGAATTCAGGTGTCCGTAAACTTATTTACAATCTTGTTTAATAAAAAATAGTGTGAATTCTAGTAAATGAGTTTATTGAATTGTTGATCCCTCGAGTCGGATATTATCGAATATTACTTGATATTAGAGTAATTTAGAGTAAAATAACTTCTCAGGACGATATAATGATGGAGCGACCTCTACTGGGAGCGACCAATGACTACCTCTGCAAATGTGCGCCCGGCTACTCAGGTAAACATTTTTTTTATTTTCTTCTAAGTCTTTGCTAAATTACTTATGAAAGTAAATGTAAAATATAATCAATAAGTCACTTATATTGTTCTTGGATTAACTTATTATAATTAGTAAATACTATGGAAATTAGGAAACTCTACTAATGTTATAAAAAGAAAGACCCTAACAAAACCCTAACTACATTAAAACCTATATCCTATTTAATTACTACTTTACATAAAGGAAATAAATAAAGTAAACGTAAAATTAATGTTTTATTCTATTTTTTTTTTTTTTTTTTTTTTTTTTTTTTTTTTTTTTTTT